TATACACGATGGAATATTACTCAGCCATAAGAAAGAAGGAAATCTTGCCACTTGTGGCAACATATATGGACCTAGAGGGTATCATGCCAAGTGAAATAAGCTAAGTGGAGAAAGAAAAATGCCATTTAATTTACTTATATGTGGCATCTAAAAAGCAATTCTATAAATGTGTAAGCCCCTTAAGCCCTCAGGAAGTGAAGCGGGCATGCCAGCTCCAGGTCCTGGGCAAAGGAGAGGCTCAGGAAACATTTGTTGAGTTTCTTTAAATCTTAGGCAGCCAGCCTGTGAGTCTTGGTGTCTAGCAGTCTACACGTTGTTGCCCTGGAACTAGACCGATATCAGCTTCCACAGGACAGACAGTGAGACTTTCCTTAAGTGCTGTGACTTTGAGTGGCACTTTTCACATGTTAGGATTCATACAAATCACCTGAGGGATCTTGATACAATGAAGATTCAGATTCAGTGCATCTAGGCCAGCCTGAGAATCTGTGTTTCTAACAAATACCTGAGGCAGCCGCTGCTGGTCCAGGTACCAAACCACAGGTTTCCTGAACTTGCCTGTATCCTCCTGGCTTTGCTACACATCACTGTGTGTCATTAGATAGTCTCAGAGCCTCCCTGGGCTTCGATTCTTCATCTGGATATTATATAGATAAACAACACATTGACAGCTTACTACATGTCAGGCCACCCTGGGTGCTTGCTGGTAAAACAAATATGAATAATCCACAAGCCCAGGAGGAGCTTGCAGACTGTGGGGCTTAAAGGTTCAAAGATACTATTTAAAGACTGTTTGGATTCAAAAATTCTGTGACTCACTGGCAGAAATAGGGTTATAAGATCTTCCTCTCCCAGAAAACATCTTTCCAAACACTGACAGGGATCACCCATTAACTACTATTTCCAGAATCAGGGAATATTCAATCTAGAAGTAACCCCAAATATGCACCCTTATGTTCACTGCAGCATTATTTACAACAGCAAAGATATGCAAGCAGCTCAAGTGCCTATTGGTAGATGAATGGATAAAGGAGATGTGGTACATATACACGATGGAATATTACTCAGCCATAAGAAAGAAGGAAATCTTGCCACTTGTGGCAACATATATGGACCTAGAGGGTATCATGCCAAGTGAAATAAGCTAAGTGGAGAAAGAAAAATGCCATTTAATTTACTTATATGTGGCATCTAAAAAGCAAGCAAAAAGAAATAGGCTGCAAATATAGACAACAGCCTATTGGTTACCACAGGGAAGAGGGTAGGGCAATGAGCTAAATAGATGAAGGGGATAAAGAGGTAAAAACTGCAAATTGTGAAGTAAGTCAGACATGGGAATGGAAGTACAACATAGATAATTTAACCAACAATATTGTAATATCTTGATATGATAATGGGGTAATTACACCTATTGTGGCAAGCATCTGGTAATGTACACAATTATCAAGTTACTATGTTGTACATCTGGAACCAACATACTATTGTATATCAACTTTATTGCAACTAAAAGATAAAATAGAAATAACCCCAGAGAAATTTAGCCCAAACTCCACCTTGCCATTTAACAGATGAGGGAAATGAAGAGACCAGGGACAGAAAAAACTGAGTCCAAAGCAAATAACTGGTTTTCTAACCATGCTTTCAAAGGCAGTGCTGTCTAATAGAAATAAAATATGTAATAAAAATGAAATACATAATTAAAAATTTTGTGGTAGTCACACTGGAAAGAGTAAAAGTAGGTAATATTGACTTAATATTATATTAACCCACTATGTCAAAATCTTATTATTTTAACATGTGATCAAGATAATAAAATATTAATGAAATATTTCATATTCTTTTTTATTATGCTAAGACTTTGAAACCCAGTTTAAGTACACTTACAGCATATCTCAATTTACTCTTGCCACATTTTCAGTGCTCCACAGCCACATGTGGCCAGTGGTTATCACGTTGGATGGTGACACTCTTAAGTTGTGCCATCCTATCCTAACCCAATTATACAAACACAGACTTTTAGAACCAATTTTCCAGTGGTCAGTAGCATCATTCTCATGGTCAGTGATTATTTTTTATGGACACTGAACTAGAAAATTAATCTTCCAACTAGAGTTGTAGTTTTCTGTGGCCAAGTTGAATAGTGTGCCATTTCTGGAGGTACCTAACTTAACCTATGGGTTTACTGAATACCGGAAGAAGCCACATAGTCTGCTCTGGATTTTGGCGATGACAGGCTGGTAGTTTGAACCCACATGTCTACCATGTCAGCCACCAAGTGAGATTTCAGCCATCTTTCCCTTCTCTTCTTCCAAGTTTGTACCAAACTGGTCTGTTCCCAGAGAAGTTGCTCAATGAAAGTGAGATACACTTGAGAGCACATTTTGGAGGAGGAAATGTTGCTTCCAGCTTGCCTGGTAGGTGCACCTTCCTAGGTAACAATTGTTACATAAGTGGCAGCATGGCATGCCCAAATGACAAATATCTGCAGCATACCCATTTCAGCCAGGAAAGCCACACCAGCTTTTCCTAGGAGAATAGTGGTGTGGAATTGAGGCATGTAGATGCAAACATTATCTTTGCCATATTACAAGTAGGGCGAGTTCTCCAGGCGGGGGTGGGGGTGGTTAACCCAAGTGCTACTCCATTGCAGCACAACCTCAAGAAAAACCAGTTTCAGGGCACCACACCTAGGATCATATGATGCAATCTGATATTAGCGTCTCGTTGCATCAGTGTTTCTGACGCATGTGTCTTTTACTCTGGCAAAAAGCTTTATAATGGAGGAGGAGAAAAAAAAGAAAAGACTTGCTGGCTGAAATCTGAAGGTACCATCAATACTATTCCTAATGGGCCACCCAGGGTGCTTGAAGGATAAACACCCAACCAACCACCCCAGTCTGACAAGCATCAGCATGCCATTTCCTGAAAGGAACTTGATGGCGTACTTAGGTGATATTCTTTTCTGGTTGCTTCTATTTAGGTTTTACATGAAGGCATCAAGGTCCAATTTCCTAAATCCTTTTTAATGCAGGTCTGTTAAGAGGCTTTCAAAGGGGGCTTGTATTCCCTGTCCTGACCTTTCTGATTAGTACCAGTTGATTCCTCACGTGCAAAGTCCCTTTGTCTTTGAAGAGAAGGATGTTCCTCTTCTCCTGGTATGCGGAGGGCACCTCTCCCCTGGGGGTTTTATGACCTTTTTGCAGAGTTGAAGGGGTGGCAGAGAGGGTAGTCAGAGTGACCTTCCAGCTTCTGCCATTTTTCTTAAACTCCTTCAGCTTAAAATAGTCAATATGCCAAGGCGGCACATTTTGGGGTAGCATGACCTGAACCCCAGCACTCACCACCCTCTCTTAAGTAGCTATCTCTCCCCTTAGACTGTATTCCACTAGGGCAGCAATCTTGGCTGTAGCTTTGCATCCCTAGCACCCGGCACTGTGTGTCTCTTCTCTTGTTATGTACTGGGGGCTCAGGCAATATTTGTCAAGAAATAAAAAATTTCCATTCAAACTAGCTTCTAGTGCATCCTTGGCCTCCAAATTAATTATTAATTCACTAATATAGCACACCCTTATGTAACTCTTCCGTGTAAGAACACCTTGCTACATACTGGGGACATATCCATAGGCAAATAAAATACAGTTGCTCTTTGCACAGGAGAAAATTATTCAAATTGTATTCACCTTTCATTCTCATCACTCAATTAGGGCACGTCCCTGGTTGGCCGATGAGAGAGTAAAGTAACTATTTTTCCAGTGGGTGTCCTCAGGTGACCTGTCTAGACGTACCCGGGAAAAACAATCTAACATTCTCCTAAACCCCAAAGAAATCTCTGACGCGCAGGACGCGTTGCGTAGAAGGCCTAAGGCGGGCTGCGCAGCCTGGGAAACGCGCAGGACATGGGAGGGATAAGTCTGGCGGCGTGGCGCCCTGCGCAGGCTTGGGTGGGCCGGGCCGCCCGCCGGGCGCAGGCGGAGGCGGGGACCGGTTCCCCCGCGGGTCCGCC